CCAGAGAAGATGAAATGACCAAAGCAGTCGTTGGAGTGATGCCATCGTTGGCTTTGAAGATGGTGGAAGGGGCCACAAGGTATGGGTTGGGGGCAGCCTCTAGAAGCTGGAAAAGGCAAGAAAGCAGATTCTCCCGTAGTGCCTCTAGAAGGAATGCAGCCCTGCCAACATCTTGAGTTTAGCCCCATAATACTTCTAACCTACAGAACACAAAAATAATAAATTTGTATCGTTTTAGGAAAATTCCCTCCAATATGTCTCTTAATATATATCTCCTACCGGTTCTTCTTCTCTGATTGAACCCTGACTCACATACATAGTAACCGCTTTGATTCCCTTTTAAAAATATATGAAATATCAAATTCATTAAAAGTTTTCATTGGAGCCCCTGTTTTGTTGACAGCTTGAGTGTTTTCTAAGCTCTGGGAAAAGAGTGATGAACAAGACATTAAGTTTCCACACCTGTAAAACTGGGCTAATCAGAGTACCTCCTGGGGTTATTACACAGATTAAATAAGTCACTGGGCATAATGGGCTTGGAGCAATGCCTGGTACAGAGTAAGGGTTCAAGAAATGTTCGGGGGTAGCTAGGTGGCGCAGTCAGTTAAGCACCAACCCTTGGTTTGGGCTCAGGTCATGACCTCGGGGTCGTAGGATTGAGCCCGGTGTCATGCTCCATGCTCAGCACAGGGTCTGCTTGTCCCTCTCCCTCTCCCTTTCCTCCCCCCACCTCATGCTCATGCTCACGCTTTCTCTCTAAAATAAATAAAATCTTAAAAGAAAAAAAAGAAAAAGAAATGTTAGAAGAGGTAAGGAATGGAAGAAAAGCAGAAGAGAGAGACAATCTCCCTGCTTCCAGGGGGCTTAGATCTGACGGGAGTAAACAGGATGATAAACTTAGAAAGGAAAAAAAAAAAAAAAGGAAGGAAAGTAGAGAGGGAGAAAAGAAGGGGAAAAAATATCCAACCATGATAAGTGCCTTAGAAACACTTATGTTTAACACTTCATCCCCGGGGTCCGCAGCCCCCCGGGGGGCGAATCCAGCCTACCACCTGCTATCAAATGGCTTGTGAGCTAGGAATAGTTTCTATGTTTTCAAATGGTTGAAAACAAGTATTACAAAAATGACAAGAAACTCAAATCTCAATATCCATAAAGTTTTATTGGAACAAAGTCACTCTTATTTAAATCATCTGAGTTTTCCCACTGCAACAGCAGAGTTGAATTGTTGCAACAGAGATCGGAATGCCCACAAAACCTAAAATATTTACAGTTTGGCTCTTTACAGAAAAAGTATGCTGGCCCTTGCTTTAGACTGAGTGAGTGAGTGGTCAGGGAGGTCCTTCCTGAGGAGGTAACATTTAAGCTGAGACCGGAATGGCAAGAAAGAGGAAGGTTGGGGGTAGGAGGGCAGAAAGAACAGAAAACTAAGGTAAAAGCTTCTCTCTAATCCTATAACAGCCTTCCAAAGAGGGGCTCTGTCAAAAGCGATGATGGGACTCTGAGGTTCTGAAGGTGCAGTGGTGCCCCAGGGTCACAGAGCCATGGATCCTGAGTTGGGATAGGGAACCAGGCCTGCATGCCCTGTTCCAGCCTCTTTTCGGCCTGGCATGGCACAGGAGCCTAGGAACTGCACGTTGAATGGTTTTATTTGCCTTCCTGGGGGTAATGACCGGGGATTTTAGATTTGTTCCCAGGAATAGGTGAGAAGGGCCTGGGATTTGCCCTCAGGCCTAAGGGCAGGTGTTCTGTGGACTCCTGCTTGGCAGCAGGCCTATGACTATCATGAAACAGGCCCTGATAACAGGATCTATGGCAAGGGCAGTGGGTGAAATGCCAGGTAGAATGGGGCGACCCTCAGAGAATCCAGGAAGTGGCTTTCATCCTGAGGAGCCCACAACTGGCAGCTTGATAGAAAAAGTCCTACCCCCAGCTCCCAGCGGCCCGACTCCAGCCAGGGTCTTCTGAGGCTGGAAGGAGACTGACTCAGACAGAACCCCACTCCCAAGCTTCTACGAGCCAGTTCATCTCTGCCAGGCTCTGTGATAAAGGAGAGAAGTAGGCTGTTGGCCCCACTTTAGAGCCAGAGAAATTGAGGCCATGTTGAGAACAACAGGGGGTACTTGGTAAAAACACAAACTCCACGCCTGAATCCTGGCCTCAACATTTTCCAGTGTGTGATTTCAGGCAAATGGCTTAACTTCTCTGTGCTTCAGTTTATAGATATGATAGTATCTGCCAAAAAAAAAAGTAAGGAATTAAGGAAACAAAAGTTCAGCACCACACCTACAGGAAGAACTCAATAAACATTGGCTGACCTAAACACATTCTCTGTTAGCTTTGACAACAGCCCTAAGAGATTCTAGAGTGGCAGAGGATTCTGGGTATGAGCCAGACAGATCCGTTCTCCACCCAGTTCTTCAGGGCCAAACCCTTGAATTCATCCTTGACCCTTCTCTTTCCTTTACACACCACAGTCCCTCAGAAAATCCTGCCTTCAATATATACCCAGAAGCCAATCATTCCTGTCATCTTCATGATATCACCTTAATCCAAACTGCCATCAGTTCTCACCCAGATTACTGCAAAAGCCTCCTAGCTGGTCAGGGGGCTGCCAACCGCCCAACTCTCCCCAAGCAAGCAAAGGGGTCTTGATAAAAAGTCAGGTCAGAGGACTCCTCTTCTCAAAACCCTGTGTTTCCTAACATGTCTAGCTTTAACTCACTCCTTTATTTATTCAATGATCATTTATTATTGAGTACCTACTATGTGCTACGTGCTGCTCTAGACACTGGAGATAAAACAGAACAAAACAGACAAAAACCTCTGCAGTCAGAAAGTTTACATCCTCCTGAAGGGAGGACAGTAAGCAAATGTAGAAGTAAAACAGATAATATGTTAGGTGTTATGGAGAAAAATAACTCAGGGAAGGTTTTGGATTTTATTTTTATTTTTTATTTAAAGATTTGTATTTATTTATTTGAGAGAGAGAGAGAGCACTGGGAGAGGGGCAGACCCCCGCACTGGGCAGGGAGCCTGCCATGAGGCTTGATCCCAGGACCCTGGGATCATGACCTGAGCCAAAGGCAGACACTTAACCAACTGAACCACCTAGGCGCCCGAGGTTTTAGATTTTAAACAGGGTGGTCAGTGAAGGCGTAATGAACAAGGTAAGAGTTAAATAAAAAGTCCCAAAGTGGGAGAAGGTGAGATCCAAGGGGCAACTCACAAGTGGAGTATTCTAGACAAAGGCCTGAGCAGTACAGAGGTGGAAGTGTTCCTGGCGTGTTTCACGCACACAGGGGAAGCCACTGTGACCACAGCGAAAAATGTGCAGGAGCGGGAGAGTGGATTGACCTCAGAGGGGTCAAGGGGGCCGGGTTGTTGAGTCTTGTGGGTTCTCCAAGTCTTTTTTTTTCTTTGATTGAGATTAGAAGCCAGTGGAGGTTTTATTTTTTTATTGTTATTATTAGTTTTTTTTTAAGATTTTATTTATTTATTCATGAGAGACAGAGAGAGAGAGAGAGGCAGAGGGAGAAGCAGGATCCCCTCTGAGCAGGGAGCCCAATGCGGGACTCGATCCCAGGACCCTGGGATCATGACCTGAGCTGAAGGCAGACGCTTAACCATCTGAGCCACCCAGGCGCCCGTTATTATTAGTTTTAAAGATTTCATTTATTTCAGAGATCATGAGGGGAAAGGATGGGAGGGGCAGAAGGAGAAGCCGACTCCCTGCTGAGCCAGGAGCCCCAGGACTATGCGGGGCTCGATTCCAGGACCCTGGGATCATGACCTGAGCGGAAGGCAGACGCTTAACCCGTTTAACCACTGAGCCACCCAGGTGCCCCCCACCCCCCCAGTGGAGGTTTTAATTTAAGTAGGGGAATGACTAGAGTTTTAAAGGATCACTGTGCTGGGCACCTGGCTGGCTCAGTCTGAAGAGCATGCGACTCCTGATCTCAGGGTCTTGAGTTCAAGCCCCATGTTGGGTGTAGAGATTACTTAAATAGATAAAAAACTTAAAAAAAAATTTTTTTTTTTAAGGATCACTGGGCTCCTCTGTGTGAAAGATCACAGGGAACATCAGCAGAGCCTGTGAGACAGTTTATGGTGTAGGCAGCTACAATAGCTGTTTGAGGTGTGATGGCTTGGACCAGGAAGGAGGTAGCAACAGCAGAGGTGATGTCAAACCCACACGCCTTACACAAGGTTAGGAACCCTCCTTATGGGGTCTCCCTTACCCTTACAAGCCTTGTTCCTTCCTGTATCCCAAACCCCACAGACCACAACTAGGCACATACAGGTGTCTAACGAGTATTGGTTGACTACACAGACGAATGAATGAATGATCCAGGCCTAGGTCATCATCACCACCTATTTTATTATCTTTTAAAGATTTATTTTAGAGAAAGAGAGCGTGAGCAGGGGGAGGGGCATAAGGAGAGAAGCAGATTCCCAGCTAAATGCAGAGGAGGGCGGGGGGGGGGGGGGGGGGGGGCTGGATCCCATGACCCTGAGATCATGACCTGAGCGGAAATCAAGAGTCTAAGGCTTAACTGACTGAGCCACCCAGGTGCCCCTCATCATCACCTATTTTAATGATAGGCATATAGTCAGAAGTCAGTAAATGCTTACAAATAGAATACTGCACAATTCTGCAAGGCCAGGTGTCTAGTCCTCTTCACAGGGAGGAAAACTGGGGCTGAGACTGGGGACGTGTCCCCTGGGGTCCCTCTACACAGCCTAGGCTAGAAGCTTCCTTCCCAACTTTCCGTGTCAAGTCCTGGACACTGGGCGGAGAGCGTCTGCTCTCAGGGTGAGTCACAGTGACCTCACGGGAGTTCCCCTCAAACCTTCCCCGCCCCGGGCTGGAGAAAAGCCAAAACTCCATAGGGCCGGGAGGTCACCAAGCCCAAGCCGGTCAGGCGTCCTAAAAGTGCCCTGGCCGGGTCCTCCCCCGTTCAGCCCACAGAGACGAAGAGACAGAAGGGCCGCTTGCTCACGGCTGAGGCCCCGCCCCCCGCTTGTCGGCCGGCCCGCTCCTCCAGCGGAAGCCGGAAGCAAAAGCAGTCCCTGCTAGCCCCCGGCTCCGAACTCGGTGGTCTTGGAGGCTCCGCAAGATGTGGGAGAAGATGGCGGAAGAGGAGTGAGTGGGCTTTTCCCGGGCGGCGGAGGCGGCAGGGCTGGGCCCCGGCGGGTGACAGCGAGAGCCTCAGGCCTCCCTCTGGCCCTGAAAGGCGGAGCTCCTTGTGGCGCTTGGCCAGGACTGACCATGCCGGCGCCAGCGAGGAGGGCGGGAGGGACGGGCCTGGGCGCAGCCCGGCCCTGCAGCCTCCTAAGGTCAGATTCTCGTCTAGGGAACCGGCAGGCCGGGGCAGGCCTCGAAAGCCGTCCGGCGGAAACCGAAACCCCAATTCCACTTTCCCATTTTTCGGTCTTATGATCAGGGAAAGCTCCGCCGCCTCCTCCAGGAAGCCCCCCCCCCCCACTGTAACGGTCGTTTTTCGCATCTGTTTCCTCCACGGAGTTTCATTCATTCGTTAACTGTTGGCCATTTACTCTATTCCAGGCCCTGGGCACATAGTAGTGAAGGAGGCCGACCAGGAGACGCCCTCAGGTAGTTTCCATTCTAGTGGGGAAAGACCCTAAGTAGGCAAGATGATTTCAGAGTGCTAAAAGAAAACGGAAGTGTTAGGATGGGAGAGTCCGTCTAGGAAGAAGTGACGTGCCCGCTGAAACTAATGAGAAGGAGGGATAGGAGAGAGAACAAGCAAATGCAAAAGGCTGGAAGCAAGAAGGAGCTTAGTGTCTTTGAGGGACAGAAGGAAAGGCAGGATGGCTGGAATGTAAAGAGCGAAGAGGCTAGCTGTACAAGATGAGATGAGGGGCGGGGCTGGGCGTCCTGTGTCCCCCAGGTACTTAGCCGGAAGGACCACTCTTTAGTCCGTCTCCATATCTGCCGGGCACAACCTATTGCATGTTGTAGATGCCGTATCTATGTGAACCGGTTTGTAAAAATTAAAAAGGAATCCCCGTGGTTGAAATCTGACTCCCTCACTTGACATCTTTTCAGATATGTCTCTTGGCTGGCTGGGTGGTCATTTCATTTCGTCTGCTTATTTATTCAGCATATGCTCTATTGCAGACACCAAACTGGGCCTCAGCAACACAAAGCAAAAGAGGTGGTATGGCCCAGTGATTTCAAGTTTGGTCTCAAACTTGGTTAGCTGAGATATTGGCCAGGTTATGCAACCTCTCTGAGCTTCAGTTATTCATGGGTAAAAAAGGGAAAGGAATAGTCCCCACCTCAGGCCTGGTATGCCCATTAAATGAGAGGTTGTATGTTATATAATCCCTGGAGTGAAGCATTTACTCAATAAACATGAGCTGTTACAATCACAATTGCAATGATAGCACTAGTTTACAGTCTGACCCCAAAGTGAGGAGAGAGCGCTGGTGAAGGACATAAGAGGTGGGGTGGGTGCAATATTACAGAGGAGGTTACATTTGAGCCTTTAGAAATCTGAGGATTTTATAAAGCAGGGTGGGATGTTCCAACCAGATCAACAATTGGGTAAATTCAGGTGGCTTCTTCAACTTGCTGCTATAATTCAAGGAAAAGAATGTAAACAGGAGAAATAAAGGCGCCAAGTAAATAACAGTGGATCTTGGAACGTGATGAGACTTCAGTTTGTCTCCATTTAAATCCCCCATTAAATGCCAAAGAGCAGGCAGCATTTTGTTTCTGCACTGGCCCTGATACCCCCTTGTTCCTGTCCTCTGAGTGGCTGTGTTCAGAGCACCTGAAACCACTGGTACTCTCCTGCTGTGGCAGGCAGGAATTTTCTGAATCAGTTTCTCTCTGAGGCCTGCCAGTGGTTGTAAGACTTGTGAATCCCATCATCCTCTGTGCCAGGTGCTCCTTCTGTTTGTGTATGTGTGTTGATACTCAGGCCCTTTTCCCTTTATCTAATCCTGCTGCTTTTTATGTCCAACAGGTTCCCTAACACAACTCACGAAGGTTTCAATGTCACCCTTCACACTACCCTGGTTGTCACCACGAAACTGGTACTCCCGACTCCTGCCAAGCCCATTCTCCCTGTGCAAACGGGGGAGCAGGCTCAGCAGGAGGAACAGTCAAGCGGCATGACCATCTTCTTCAGCCTCCTCGTCTTAGGTGAATGTGGAGACACCCTCATTTGCCATCTTGAGTGTCTGTGTGTGCTGTCTATAAGGCCAACCCTGTCTAAGCCACCATTTACTTGATGTCAAGTCTTCCTTTCATTTGGTTTGATGTCAAACACTGAGGGACAATGATCAGTTCATAAGAGGTACTCCTTTTTCTATAAAATCATCAAGCCTAGCAATTTTGAAGTGCTCTTTATATAATATCTTAGATGTCATTTGAAAGAAAGAAGGGATTTTTGACCTAGAAAGAACCGTGAACGTCTTCTAGTTTAATGGATTTCAAACACTACTCATGAGTGAGTGTGTGTGTGTGTGTGTAGGTGGTGGTGGGAGCAGGAGGTGGGCTGAGTCAAATGGGAGGGCATCTGACTTTCTGACCAGAGCAGCATTTTGTCTCCTGTTAGGCTTCTGTGTAAATTTTATTTAATTAAAGGTTTTGTTGCTGAGTAAAAGATCAGACACCCCTTTCCTTACCCTCTGTCTCCCATTAACCGTGGTTATGACTTTTACCATGTCTGTATACCACCTGTGTTGTTGTTTACTTATGTAATGTTTTTCTTTGAACAGATTCACTCTCAAAAGTCTCGTTTTGTTCAACCTCCTCCAGTCATGGGTGAGAAAATTTAGGCCTAGAGAGATTAAGCAATTGACATGCCTGGTTTCTGGAAGACTAGAGATTAATATTTGGGTTGCCAGACATCAGTCGAGAAGTTTAGGTAAAATGCAATAACTTAGATGCCTCCTAGAGACTGTAGACAACTGTTTTAGACCAAAAAACAAAACAAAACAAAAAGTCGAAACTGCACAACCACTTTGGACCAGCTGACAAAGGAAGAAATAACTTCAAATTTGACCCAAATCCAAACTCTTACTGGATGAGTAAAGTTGGCATATTTATATTTTCCAGTTTTCTTTTCATGATACTGAGCCGTATTTCTAATTAGATTAGGTCTTTTCAGAGGAATGGGAACTACAACCTGATTGAAAGGCACGAAGCATTTCGCTGATGTCATTGAGGACTTTTTTGAAAACTGGAACTTCTTTCACATTTATATTCAGATTCTGTTAATGGTCAAATAATTTTAATAACCTAATCATTTGATTTAAAATCCCAGGACTCAGCCTTATCTCTCACAGATCCTAAAAAACTTTTAAATTGGGGGCACCTAGGTGGCTCAGTTGGTTGAACGTCCGACCCTTGGTCTCAGGTCTTGAGCTCATGGCTGTGAATTTGAGCCCTGTGCTGGGTTCCGTGCTGGTCGAGTAGCCTGCTTAAAAAACAAAACAAAACAAAAAAACCCATACAACTTTTAAATTGAATACTGCAAAAGTACACAAACCACAAGCGTGCAGTGTCCTATATGGACCTGATATGCTCAAGTAATTGTGTACCTTGTGAATGTAGTTGAATTCTGCTCCTAGGGGATTACTCCGACAAAGACTCTTTTGTTTTTCCTTTTTCCTCTGTGATAGTAGTTGAATATAAACAAAGCAGTTCTTTTCTTGATTAAGAAGTCTTTAGTACCTGACTCCTTAATCCTGAAGGACCAGTATTATTAGCCTTTTTACATTGTTGTCAGCTTGATAAGGTAGACAGCATACAAGACAGGCCTGGAAGAAAACTTTTGTTTTGTAGTCACTTTGTTTCATGGGAAGATAATAAGGCTAAGTCAGACTTTCCAAAGTAATTTTCAGGGTGTGGGGCATTGTAGGTTAGTTTGTGCCAGAAACCACAAAACAGGTTGTTATAGCGCTTTTTAATCCTGGCAAGACCCTGCGCAGTGGTAACAGATCTTTGGGGCCAGAAAGGTCTGAGCTGTATTTATTAGTGCTATATATTTTACTTGGATTGTCTTTTCAAACATTTCATAAACCTAGAGTCACACTAGTGTCAGGTGGGTTTTGTTTTCGCCTCATCAGACTGTTGGCAGTCTACAAATCGGTATCTCCGCTTTATATGTGTAGGTCAGCGTGCAGTAGCAGAATGGAATGCTTTCTTTTTCAATAAATTTGAAGACATTTTTGCTCCTTTCTTGTATGTTATCAACAGTATATTTTATATCTTAGATGTCCAAACAATATACATCTGATAAGGTTAAAAAAATTACAGTTAATAGGTATCTTGCTAACTCACTAAATACATGAACTGCAGTGAATTGAGAGAAATACTAGTCCATAGTTTATTCTAGACTTCAGGAACTCCTAACCTGGGACACATTTAATCACTTTTGTTTACTGTTTCATTTTTTTTTTTTTTAAGATTTTTATTTATTTGACAGGGAGAAAGACAGCCAGAGAGGGAACACAAGCAGGGGGAGTGGGCAGAGGGAGAAGCAGGCTTACCACAGAGCAGGGAACCTGATGCGGGGCTCCATCCCAGGACCCTGGGATCATGACCTGAGCCGAAAGCAGACACTTAACGACTGAGCCACCCAGGCGCCCCTACTATTTTATTTTTTTTAAGATTTTTTATTGGGGCACCTGGGTGGCTCAGCCGGTTGGGCGTCTGCCTTTGGCTCAGGTCATGATCTTAGGGTCCTGGAATCGAGCCCAATGTCAGGTTCCCTGCTCAGCGGGGAGCCTGCTTCTCCCTCTCCCTCTGCCTGCTACTCACCCTGCTTGTTTTCTCTGTCTCTTTATTATTTCAGAGAGAGCACAGAGAGGGGAGGGGAGAGGGAGAGGGACAAGCAGACTCCCCACTAAGCAGGGAGCTCAATGCGGGGCTCAATCCCAGGACCCATGAGATCATGACCTGGGCCGAAGTCAGACACTTAACTGAGCCCCTCAGTTACTGCTTTTGTTTACTATTTTAGTCAAGTCAAATGAAAGTGTAACTTTTATGTCCTATAAGCTTGTGAAAAGATTTCAGTGTATTCCCCTTTTTTGAGGAGGGATGCCAAAACTCTTTTACTTTTGACTTTAGAAGCTTGAAATCAGTTGATTTACACTTAACCGTTGATGATCTTTGACTCTGCAGAAACAATGGTGAGTCATTTTTTTTGACTTACATTAGAGTTAACAATTAGCATCATTTGACACATTTTATGGGCCATTAAATTTATGGAGTTATTAAAATTGATATGCCTATGTTTTAATATAGTTTCCATAATTATTACTTCGGGCATGAACATTTAGAAGTATATTAACTTGTAGTATACCTATCCTCCTTACCACACAGAAGTTTTTGCCCTTCTTTTTTTCCAAGTATACTTGAAAACATGTACTTGTTGGTGTATAGGCGCATATACGTTCATAAGCACATTCACACGTATAGGCACATCTAGCTTGGATTTTGTTTGTTTTAATATAAATAGGATCCTATAACTTGCTTTTTCATCTCACAGAATGTCTTGGAGGTCTTTTTATGTTATTACTCTTTTTTGTATCTACTTCATCTTTTTTCTTTTTTTTTTTTAAGATTTTATTTATTTCAGAGAGAGAATGAGAGATAGAAAGCACGAGAGGGAAGAGGGTCAGAGGGAGAAGCAGACTCCCTGCTGAGCAGGAAGCCCGATGTGGGACTCGTTCCCGGGACGCCAGGATCATGACCTGAGCCGAAGGCAGTCGCTTAACCAACTGAGCCACCCAGGCGCCCCATCTTTTTTTCTTTTAAAGAATGTATATTTGTTAAAAGAAACAAAATATATCCCATTTTAACCATTTTACAGTGTATGATTCAGTGGCATTTAGTACACTCACGATGTTGTGCAACCACCACCATTATCTAGTTCCAGAATGTTCTCATCACCCCAAAGGGAGACCCAGTACCCTTTAAAAGCTGTCACTCCCCATCCTCCCCTACCCACAGTCTCTAGTAAACACTATTTTGCTTTCTATTCCTAGGAATTTGCCTGCTCCATTTCAGGCAAATAGCATCATACAATATGTGACCTTTTATATCTGGCTTCTTTCAGTTAGCATTGTATCTTCAAGGTTCATCCGTGTTGTAGCGTGTGTTAGAACTGCGTTAATTATTATGGGTGAATAATAATCCACTGTAGATATAGCACATCATGTGTATCCACTCATCAGTTGATGGACATTTGGCTTGTTTCTACGTTTTGGCTATTGTGAATAGTGCTGCTGTCGACATTTGTGAGAAAAGTCAGACGTTATTCTTATTTTGGCGACTGAGGAACGAAGGCAGTTGGGAGGGAGGTGGTGGGTGCCTGTGATTAAGGGCCCAGGGTTGGAATTGGGCTCAACCCTGCAGCACCCACCAGTGATGTGAGATTATGATAATAATTAGTTAAGAGGGGTGTTGGGGGTCAAATGAGACAGTGTTTGGGAAGTGCTCAGTGCACCACCTGGCTCATGGGGAGCCCTCTCCCAGTGGGAGCCCTAGTACCTAGCTGAGGGGCAGGCACCCCATCTTTTGGTCTCTGATGTTCTCATCACCAGACCAAAATATTTACTTTGTCCTCTTTGTATAAGACTCTCACTTCCTTCTCTATTCCAAGAGAACCCATCACATGGAGGCAAAATACATTGTGTCAGCATCTTCTGTTGCAGTTATATTCGCATAAAAGTGATTTCGTTGACTTCCTTCTCACCATTTCAGGTTTCCCAGTTGATTATTTCAAAAAAGTTGAAGACTTCTCAGAATCAGATTGATTCAAAAAATGATTGTATGAGGCTTAACGGGTTAGAAAAACATTAGATGTCTGTTGCTCTTTCAGTAAACCCTGGAACACAAACTAGTCCAGGCATATAAAGAAATATGGAGACAATGTTATAAACACTGTGAGTCTGTTTCCGGGTTAAGAAATAAGAGCTTGAAAATATAACTGCAGTTTATTATGTCATTGTCCCTTGTACATTTTCCTGGCAGCACCCCCAGAAGTAACCATGGCTTTGAACTTGGTGTTTATTATTTGAAATTGTGCCATTTTAACAATGTCTTATTTTTTCCCCACAGCTATCTGCATCATATTGGTGCATTTACTGATCCGATACAGATTACATTTCTTGCCAGAGAGTGTTGCTGTTGTTTCTTTAGGTAAGTGCTTATCAGTGATCCTATAAGAAAAGCAGTAACAATAACTTTTTTTTTTTAGTGTCTTCTTAGTGCCAGGAACCACATGAGATGTGGTATGTTCCTGATTTCATTTAAGCCTCACTGCCACTTGCCATGAGGGTGTTATGATCCCATTTTACAGATGAGGACACTGTGGCTTCAGAGACGGGCGATGACCTCCTAGAGATCACATAGATGCCCCTCTGTATAACTTGAAGGCCTTTCTGCTTCTAGAACTACCCTTGGGGCACATTGACCTCTGTTACCAGGCTGTGCAGACACCCAACTCAACTAAGGCGAGTAATTGACACTTAATTCATAGGGTCACTGAATTTTATAGCCAGAAGGGACTCTCACTTTAGGTTTAGGAGTAGGAATGGCTCACTTCCATGTCAGTCAGATCTAAAGTCTTCAGGAGCATTCCATTCTACCTCACTTAATTTCTCTCTTGTTTCCTGCGGCAGTTAATCGTTAAGATAGTTAGCCTCTGTATGTCAACTATAATTCAATAATAAATAATAAAAGAAAAGATAATTAGCCTCTGTTTAGAGGGAATGAATCGGTGTAATAACAGATGCGAGCTCACATGACAGTTAATTTAAATGGTTAATGAAGGAAGGTATAGGGACCTTATTTTTCAGTAAGTATTAAAATCAAGACTAAAATGTGGGTGGGAGGGGCGCCTGGGTGGCTCAGTCGTTAAGCATCTGCCTTCGGCTCAGGTCATGATCCCAGGCTCCTGGGATCGGGTCCCACATTGGGTTCCCTGCTTGACAGGAAGCCTGCTTCTCCCTCTCCCACTCCCCCTGCTTGTGTCCCTCTCTCGCTATCTCTCTCTCTGTCAAATAAATAAATGAAATCTTTAAAAAAATAAAATAAAACGTGGGGGGGTGCTTAAGGCATAGTATATAAGCTTTCACTAAGATCAGCTAAGGCGTTCATGAGTTTATGAAATTGTAGTTACTTTTATTAGATTCCACTTGTCTACTAATGATATTTAATTTTTCCTTATCATTGATGGTCTGTAAGTTAATTTTCTTTGCCTTATAGGTCTTGTTTAGCATATGTAGTAGTACTTTTACAGTATAGCGATGGTTTAGGTTAGCTTTGGAGATGAACATTCAGACTTTGATTCACCTCCTCCTGTACCATCTGCATTCCTACTACCCTGGTTCAGCCCCTCCTGTGTTTTCCCTGGGCCTCACGTTACTACTAAGTGTCAGGTTCTCGCCTGTGAGCCTTTGCATTGCCCCCTCATGTAAACCTCATAACCCACCAGTGATGCCACATCTTAAGGAGCTACACCACTGGATAGTACTGATCTTCAGTGAAGAGTTGGAAAACAATTTTTCTCAGAGTTCCCGTTCTTTATTTAGCAGGCTCTAGAGTGGCACATCCTGGTAGATTCGAACAACCTTAGCTAACGAGATAGTCTTTGAGCTCTAAGCATGGGATGATCATTTATTAACATCCCTTTTCTGCTATCAGGCATACTAAAAATAACCTACACAACTAATACCTATTCTGGGACATTCAGTAAAGACTTAAAACATGACTCCAAGGAATGTACAGTTTTGCGGTCAGTTTTCATAGTTTCTTAGAATAAGAACGGTAGTTGGTGTGTATTTAGGTATTCCATGTGCACATGGAAACGATAGTTCTTATAATTTGGTTTGGAATGTCATGTTCTTCGCTCTGAATGTTTGGGTAACTGCTTGTGTTAGGAGTTACAGCAGACATTGTTGCCTGCCCAAGGGCCTTTCCCCCTTCTTCCTTGAAAATAGAACCCTAATTTTGATTTTATTTTTTTTTTTTTTAAAGATTTTATTTACTTATTTGACAGAAATTGATAGCGAGAGCAGGAACACAAGCAGGGGGAGTGGGAGAGGGAGAAGCAGGCTTCCAGCCAAGCAGGGAGCCTGATGCGGGGCTCGATCCCAGGACCCTTGGATCGTGACCTGAGCCAAAGGCGGATGCTTAATGACTGAGTTACCCAGGTGCCCTGCTAATTTTGATTTTAAATTTGAAATAACATATCAAAAGGTATCTTGCCACAGTTGCACTCAAAGAAGACGGGCTCCTCCACGTCAAGACTGGTCTTTATGCCATCATGATAATTCCACTCTGCCATTGATTGCTTGAACAGGGTGAAGGCAGCAAGGCAGTATGAAACCCCGTTCTGGCCTGTGAGACCATGGAGAAGGGCTGAGGTGCACGGCACTCTCTCCTCTCTGATAAAAAAAAAATCTCCCCTACCTTTGATGCTGTCCTGTGAGGATGTGATGCCTGGAGAACTTGTGGACGTCTTGCAATCACTGTGGCTCAGATACAAAAGCCAGAATGCTAAGGATCGCCAAGGGGACAGATGGGAAACCCGGATTCTTGACTGCATTGTTGGTTTTGTTGAATTGATAGTTCTAAAGCTGCCTGTTATATGAAATAACAAACATCTGTGGTTGAAGCCATTTTTAGGCAGGTGTTCTTTTACTTGCAGCTAAAAGCATCTTAACTGATACAGGACTCTTTTCACTTAAGCGAGAAAATCAGTTAAAATTGATTCAAAGCAAACACATTGGTGGGGGTGGAGTTGTACACCCATTGGCCCATGGAACCGAGAAAGCTACAGGGGGCTCTAACTTCAGACTTAGCTGGATCAAGTCTCCTAGACTCCGTTTTTCTTCATTTCTCAACAGTGCTTCCCTTTGTTTTGGCTTCACTCTCAGGCAGGCTCTCTCCTGAACCTTTCCAGCTTCAGGTGTACTATCCTTACAGTAGCAATCACAGAGGGAAGAGTGACCTCCTCTTCTCCCTGTTTCCACCAGAAGTTGTAGGATGAACTCTGACCTCATGGCCTCCCCAGCCTGGACAGGGAGTGGAATGGTGTTGGGGATTGGCCAAGGCTCTCCATCTACAGGGTTAATTTCTTCACTGATGTAGCAGAAATAACTAGCCTGTACAGCCAGGTCATGGGAGGGTTGATGGAGAGTAAGTCTTGCTTTCAAAACTTCCGTTAGCTAACTCAGGTGATTGGAATGCTAAGAGCAGTTCCAGGGAGAGTGGCAGAGTCCAGAAAGTATTTTTTATTATGTTAGAGGACATTTGGTTAGAATTTGGAAATGCTGACAAAGCTATCAAAATAGTCCTGTATTTCATAAAGCTATGTAAATTGAAGGAGAACTTTTTTTCTCTTACTGGAGCAAAGTGTAACAAAATATTGATATATCCACCATTTCAAGAGTTTCCAAGTTTTGTGCCAACAAAGAATCTAGATGAAGCTGCCAGAGAAAATGGGGTTTTCCTTCTTTCAGGGATAAACTCTGCTGGCCTACCTCTTCTAACCCAGAGTTGCTTTTCAGTTTGCCGTCATTTAGAGACACGATTGGCCTTTGATGTTAAACATTCAGAGTTCCTAAGAAATTATTGATATAGAAAAGGACTATCTGCCCTTTAAAAGCACATTTCCCCCCTTCTATTTTATTGTGTTTTCAGATGAATCTCCAGACTTTTCTCATTCTTTTATAAAAAAGTATCAACATGAAATTTTAAAAGATATTTTCTTGACCCTTCAAAGCTTTTGGATACTTTCTATACTTATGGAATTCTGTAGCTTAGGCCTTTGAAAAAAATTTTTTTTCTCTTTTTTGCACAGAGAGCTATACAGAAACAGAAAAATCCTTTTCATTGACAATTTCAGCTATTTTTATTATGCTTCCTTCTCTTCCAGACCACATGTAGGCATATACATGGAGATTAGATGACTTTACTTGGTTTGAGTTTATATCATTTTTTGTGTTCTTTCGTTTTTACTACTCCTTCCGTATATTAAGTTCATATATTTACTTTTGTTGGTGCTGATTCACTATATATTTTGGGCTGAAATTTATAAGGTTTAAAAATGAAATAATTGTACTGCCTACTACCCACTGTTGTATGTAGCAAAACAGGAGATTTCTCTCCTCCCCTCCCCCCAATCATACTTTATTTTAGAGAGAAAAGTCAGAAGGGGTTAAGTAAGTACTGGAAATTTGCCCTATCCGATGCCAGTACTACCAATTAGACAACCCAGATTTGATTGCATCACTGACTAGGGTGCACACAGGAGTGCTCCCTTGTCATAACCTTCTTAATCTGTGCCTTTAGTTTTATAAACTCATTCTTGTTTTGACTAAAGGATTTTAATTTTTTTAATTTAGTGCTCTTTGTGTCATTGGGGGTTTTGAGTGGAAAGTGATGAAAAAATCACTTGGTTCCTGAGTTATTGACGAAAAGTAATTCAGGAAAAAACAGATGTAGTAATGATATTCTAATTGTACTTAAGTTCTAAAAAAAAATTTTTCTTTTTTTTTTTTAGACAAAGTGAGAATCCTAGCTGTAACTATAACAGCTTCTGTTCCTTTTTAGACTATTAAAGTCTAACTAATGCTGACAACAGCTTACGGTGTCTCACGAGGAACTCTCTCTGAATCTGAGGTGCTTTGATTTTTCTTTTTCTTTTTTTTTTTTAAGATTTTGTTATTTGAGAGAGAGAATGAGAGAGAGAGCGAGCACATGAGAGGGGGAGAGTCAGAGGGAGAAGCAGACTGAGCAGGGAGCCCGATGCGGTACTCGATCCCAAGACTTCCAGGATCATGACCTGAGGTGAAGGTAGTCGCTCAACCAACTGAGCCACCCAGGCGCCCCTGCTTTGATTTTTCTTAGAGAAGAAATAGGCATTCATTTGTTGGTGTTAAGAGTAGCTGTCTTAGAGGCAGAGGCCAAAATTGGTTGTCAAATTGACAAAATGATCACATTAGACTCAGGATTTTCGAGGCCGTTGCATTCCAAGGAACGGTGCTAGCGCAGACTCTTAGTTCCTGGACACAGGTCAGAGGTGATGAGGTCTCCTTGGAACACCTGTTGCTCTTTTACTGCCGTGAACTCAATGTGTGCTCGGTGTGGAATAACTTCCTCCTTTTTCCTGGAGTCTTGCTTGGACTTCCCTA